TCAGATCTGTCCTCGTAAGACTCATCAACAGGACCAATCACTCAATTTGACTTCTGTAGCTTTCTAGACACGGTAAACGGAAGGGCAATGAGGCATAATTGGACGACCCGCTGCAAAGCGGAAAACAAAAGCGGACTTATGTCATCTATAATCAAATCGTTCAATTTCGCGATTGTGGAATTTTCGTCGCTTCGCCTTCCTAAAGATGTTTTTTGTTTATTGCAGGCCACTGTTTGCACTAGCCTCGGTAGTTCAACCGCATGCGCTGTGTTGGAAACAACAGTTATTTGCCGGCCGTTTAGAAATTCATACCGTGAGTCAGGCTAACAAGTTCACAGCGTTTTCCGTCTTTAACGTGGGGCGCAACGTACGAGAATCCCAGACAGCACGTAGACGATCGCACAAGGACGGTTTTTATGTTAACAGTCCTAAAACAGCTGTCTGCGGCCATCCATATAAGCTCAAAAGCGGCTACCGCCTGTTATTGGGATAGACGATGAATTTCGTGTCGGATATATTGCTATTGCTGTTGGCGTTTGCAGCACTGGCCGGTAAGGTTTGCTTACGTTCATTTTGCTGTAGCCGGTGAATCAATCCGGCAAGTTACTCGAACTGATGCCAAGCTGAGAAAAGTAGGATTTTTCAAATCGAAACATTTGAAAGTTTTATGACTTGAACGAATTCACAAAAGAACATTATCTTCCAGCATGCATACATAAAAATAACGTAATGAACCATGAATAAAATGTGACCAGAAACGACACACCACGAGTATCATAGTGATCAGAGAAATCTCTGACGATGACCTCAAACGACTAAAGTTAAAACTTTTTCCAGTGATCATCTAGTGCATGATCCAACCTCCGATAAACTAGTTGTTCCCATACAGCTGATGTTGAGAAAATATCTCTTCGTAGTAAGCTTACATTGTCTAGTTCACCTTTTTAGCCAGCCAATGGATGTGCCAGTATCAGGAACAGTGCCCAGGTCAGTTCCTTTGTGTCAACGGATATTGTCGGCTGGCCATTCCAGGAACTCAAACCTTCTGCGATATAAAGACGGGCGCCTATTGTCCGGCAAATCAGGTTTGCAAATACGGAAGGTGTTGGATGCCCGCTGGTAAGATTTCATCGCTGTCACTTTCAGCGGTTATTTGATACTGCTGCGTTACGACAAACTTAGTCTGTTTCAATGTTGATATCACACACGGCTAATTGTGCGTAGCTTCATTACTACACGTTGACATTCTTTTGGGACTCCTTTACAATTAATTAATTCCCTTCATCAACGTCCTTGCAAAGAAGTGACAAGTTTATGACAAATATATAAACATACAAGGAAGAAACGCCCAACACCTCCAAG